CGACGAATAGTTAGAGAAAAGAAAGAAACCCCCCCCTCCAAGCTGTAACAAGGCTATGGAATATCCCCATCATACCTAGAACCACACATGGCCATTCAGGTGATCATCATTGTTGAGCTACTGACTCAACATGAGGCAGAGTGTTCACACATCAGGTATTTTTAGATAACCAATGGTGTATGTAGAGCATCAGTCAGCCTAGGTGTTAAGTGTACTACCAGTAGTATTAGGGGTTGGTCCCTCATGTATAAGTACCAGAGCAATACAGCATAGAGAGGGCAGACTGTTTATATAGATCTACCATCTTCTACTTGATCTAGCAACTCTCTGAGCTTAATCAGCTCCTATAAAGCTTAGTATCACCTTTGCATTATATCAACTACCAGCACCAACAGTGAGTGTTTGGGGTTAGGGTTTTGTACAGTCAAGTATCACAGAGGATACTTTGACATCAAACTTATCAACAGCTGAAAAAAGCTGTGTACACATGCAGTCATTACCCATGTCTATCAGCATGTACATTGAGCTCTAAGGCCAGACAGGAAAATCTATTTGATGGGACATTTCCAAGTCATGGTATATCTCACATTCCATTTGCTCCCTGTGTGCTGAAGAGAAAGTCTGGAATATAAGGGCTCAAGAGGGAACAATACCCCTCCTACTTGAGGAGATTGAAATCTCCTACCCACCACTGAAGGAGATCCTTGTCTCTCCTAAGACATTATCCTCTATAGATTGATCATAGAGGCTAGATCTCATATGAGAGTGTCCTCACCTGCTGAGTTTCCATGATAGGAGATTGCTATCTCCAGTCATTTGGACCGGGATCAATGGAGATTGCGTCTCCAGGGAGAGAAACCTGATGAGCTCTTTGTTGCACCACTACCACTAGCGAACACTACTGTACTCAGTCTATACTCTGATTCGAGCCCGATGCGGTCCGTGATGCGAACGTAAAATCACGAATCATGTGACACAGCGCGTCTCACCGAGTTCACACCGTGGCACTGGTCAACTCGCGCCGCGACCCGCGACTCACGCTGTATTTTGCACCACTACGACCCGAATCGCTTCGCTGGAGGTATAAAGCGATCCTGCGCCCCCACTCACTGATCAGGGTACTTGGACGATCGCCGTCCATCACACAATATTTTTAGGGGTGTCCCGACTGCAGCGAACTCTATATAGTGTACTTGTCGCGCAGCCAGCGATTCATTCGACGTGTTGAAGCCGACTTTGATTGCCTTTAGATGTTGCCCACTCCTGCACCTACCTCGCCACCGTCTTCCCCCCGACCTGAAGCCGTCGCTGCCGAAAACCACGAAATTGTATATCCTGCGCCGCCTAAGAACTCAAGCAGTGCACCATTTCACGTCCTTGCTGCTCTTTTTGACAAACTACAGAACGAGAGAAAGCCAGAGAAACGGAGGAAGCTGCTGGATTCCTGGTTTAATGTATGCCGGGCATATGTTGTATGAATCATGACATTCACTTGATAATGATTCTGCACAGCATTGGAGAAACGAGAAAGGATATGATTTGTATCCGGTCTTACGGCTCATTTTACCCCAGGCATGATGATGCGCTACCTTTCAGATCATGAGGATTTACTGAAGGACTCGAGCAGAAAGACCGTGAGCGTGCTGTTTATGGCTTGAAGGAGAAAAATTTGGCGAAGACATATATCAAACTCATTCCCCTTGGACCAAGAGATCCTGATGCGATACGATTACTTAACTGGAAGAAACCAACTGAGAGAGAAGTGCGTTAGCCACGCATGTTTTCACGAATATATTTAATTGTTGTCAACTTCAGAAATCCTCGGGAGATTTCCCAACTGTGCTATATGAAGTTATCAGCAAGAGATCTTCTGTAATTGAGGGTACGTTGACGATTGATGAAGTGAACGACGTGCTGGATGAGTTATCGCGAAATATGGGCAAATCGTAAGCGGCCTTGTCAGCTATGTTCTCAGTCATTCACAGCGCTTCAGCGACGTCCAGTCGAGACTCTTACAACGTGTATATAATCGTAGCACTCCCGAGGAACAGCGATGGATCGTGCGCATCGTACTCAAAGGTTTCGAACTTGATGTTGCAGCAATTTCGGTGTATCACTGATGAGTCTGTTGCGGCGACAGATATGATCATATCCGTCAAGGAGACCACCGTGTTCTCTGTCTTTCATCCGGATGCACACGACCTCTTTAACACCTGTTCAGACCTTAAGAAAATCGCCTGGGAATTGTGGGACCCTAACCGAAGATTGAATGAGGAGGTACCGTCATGATTTTTCGACCATCGCGGACTTTTTCAATAACCTACTGTTAGGATAAAGGGGTTCAGCTGTTCCGCGCCTTTGCTCCCATGCTCTGTAAGCGTCCCACTCGCAAAATTGAGGACTCCGTCAGAGAGATGCAGGGTCGAACCTTCATTGTAGAGGAGAAGCTTGATGGAGAGCGAATGCAATTGCATAAACGAGGAAATGAGTACTTTTACTGCTCAAGGTTGGTTCAGCTATCATCTTGAAATTATACATGGCTCCGCATGCTGACATTCCCGCAGGAAAGGCAAGGACTACACATATTTGTATGGCAAGCACGTAGGAATGGGGAGCCTCACACCTTACATACACAGTGCTTTTGATTTGCGAGTCGATGAGTGAGGGCTTCATTCCGCTGGTTGGTTGGTTGTACTTTGTACTGAAGCGTGTTCTAGGATTGTCTTGGACGGCGAAATGTTGGTATGGGATCCAGTCTCAGAACGCAATCTTCCATTTGGGACACTCAAGACCGCAGCACTTGGTATGTAGAGCATGTGCCAGCAGTGTATTAGCTGACAATTGTACAGACAAGTCAAAAAGGGACTATAATCCACGTCCATGCTGTACGCTCTGCTCCTTCCTCATTTTGAACGTCCTCTCACTTCTATTCATGTTCTAAGTCAAGGTGTTCGACTTGCTCTATCTTAATGGCATGTCCCTTCTACAGAAGTCGTTAAAGTTCCGGAAACGCAATCTGCGTGCATGTCTCAAGGAAGTATCAGGCCGTATCGAGTATGCTGTGGAGTACGAGGGTCGTACTGCGAAGGATGTCCGAGAGCGTATGAATGACATTATTGCCTCTCGGGGCGAGGGTTTGGTTCTCAAGCACCCCGATTCAGAATATGTTTTGAATGGGAGGAACAGGGACTGGATCAAGGTAGGCAAGCTGTATGTAAGACAATTCCAACATTTCATTTCCTGCACCCCTATAGGTCAAACCGGAATATATGGTTTGTCAAATATCACTAACGCTTACATGGACTGCGCTGACCCATATGGTAGGACAACATGGGGGAAACTGTCGACGTACTAGTTGTAGGTTGGTCAAATTGTTGTTCCACCAATTTATTTGCGACTAATTCGAAGAAAGCTGGAAACTATGGCACAGGACGACGCGCAGGCGGAGTATCCACGCTCATTTGCGCTGTACTCGATGATCGTCACCCAGAAGATGACGATGAATCGAAGTGAGCTACGCTAGCGCTAATCGATGAGATTTAAGCTGACGAAGCTCGTTGCATTCCTAGGTATAGTACGTTTGTCCGGATCGGCTCTGGTTTGTCCTATGCAGATTATATATGGGTGCGGCAAAGATCCTGGAAAACATGGGATCTCAAGAACCCCCCCAGCTTTCTACATGTGTCCAAGAGAGGTCAAGAAGACAAGGGTGACGTATATCTTGAGCCAGAAGAGTAAGAACAGCATGTCCACAATATTATTTTCTGATTTCTGGATGACGTTTAGTTCATTTATCATCAAGGTTAAAGCTGCGGAAATTGTGACAAGTGGTATAACAGGTTTGATATCGCCTGGAATTTGCCTATTAACCGTCCAACAGATCAGTATCACATGGGATTGACGATGCGCTTTCCGCGAGCTCTCAAAATACGTGACGATTTGGATGTCTCCGATTGTATGAGAGCTAGCGGTATGATAAACTTATAAACATTGGTTACTCAGGAATTAACTTTTCCTGTAGCTGTGCTAGAGGGTTTGCGATCGGAGCAGAAACGAAAATTGGAAGATGATGATGGGTAAGTTTTGGAACACGTCTGGTTTTGCATATTGACTAGGCACTAGGAAGCCAAAGAAAAAGCAGAAGAGAACAGCGAAGAAGGTAAATGAACTATGAGAAGCCGTGGTGGACACTCCACTAAACCCTCTTCGGTTTTTCTGTAGATTTCTCTGATGCCAGAGTATCAAGGAATAAAAGTTAAGAATGTCGAGATTGAAACCGACCTGTTGGAGGGGATGAAATTCAGTTAGTGGTTCCCTGTATTTACATTGACTTTCTGACGTAAATCATCCTCAGTGGTAGCGTCAGACCCTAAGTCAAGATCTGGGGAAGAGGACAAGAAGCAATTGCTTCAGCTGTAAATTTATTCCGGCGCTTTACCAGAGCTCATCTAAATTAATATCTCGCAGGATTCATGCACATGGTGGAAGTTATGTACAGGTGGTGAAAGCCGATCCAGAAATCTTAGTGGTTTATGGAGGCGCAAGCACTCGTAAATTTCCTCGACAGCTTACCTAGTCTGAAGACCGCTTACATTGGCATTTGCAAGCGTATGATATCAAATTAATCATGAACAAGGGCATATGCGATATTATCAAGCCACAATGGATCATGGACTGCATCGCGAGGGGCGATTTGATCCCCATGAGTAAAAAGTCCAGTTATAACATCTTCTAGGTCGCCACAGTCTATTGATGAGTTCTGTTTCGCAGATACTTCTTCCACGCTACTGAGCGACGTCAACAGGACGATGATTATAATCTCGCTGATGACGACGAAGATGAAGCAGACCCTTCTGCTTCCGGAAGTCCAGTGAGAGATGCAGAGATGAAGGAGAGCAACATCACCGAAGGCGAGGTTGAAGAGGATGATTCTTCCATGGCCGATTGGTTCAAGGTGAAAGACCCTTCAATAGCGCAAGAAGATCACCGCGGTGATGCAGACAGCGAAACGGAGCCGGATTCGGATAACGAGGACATCACCTGCGATGAGGATGCGAACCCAGATGAAGATGGCGATGACGACTGGATAGATGTGAAGCTCTCACAAGCTCGCTCAAGCGACGTTGCTCAGAATGGTAGTGTACGCCCAGAATTCAAGCTGTAGTTGTGAATACCACTCACCTCCTCTTAGGAGGCGCTTGGTGATAGTCATGCAACTCCTGCTGAAGTTTGTTCACACATGTGGGATTAAATCTGCCAACTGACGATGCCTTAGGCCGACGGGCAAGGTCGTATGGGCGAAAACCACGATGCGATGGAATATGACACGGAACTTATTTTCAGGCATCTGTAAGCCACGTGTGAGTTTCACCTGTTCCTGTCCGGTTCTTATTTTACGGGGAAGCTGCTTCTACCTCGATTCGCCTGTGAATGCAAGAAAGCATGATATGACAGTGAACCCAAAGAATGAGGATGCGTTGACAAGAAGGTGCTTGCTTCGTCGTCTTGCCTCTGAGACGCTCATCTGACAACGACATTTAGCTTCGACAAACTGTCGTTACTCATCACTAAGAACGGCGGCCATGTTGCGGACTTGGACAAGCCTACGCTCACGCATGTAGTTCTTGACAAACGTGACATCACTCGTCGCTCGGAACTCATCAAGCGAACATCGAAGTGAGTGCTTTTTCGCAAGGTGATCTAAATTCCTCAACCATGCTCAACCAGACCTAAACGGCGTCACCTCATCATCGCCGAGTTTATTCAAGCATGTCTTGACGAGGATACGCTCTTAGATGAGGATGGTGAGTGAGATCAGTACTTTAACTGAATTCCTCAACGACTGCTCTCTGACTCCGCCAGAATTTGCTCCCTGAAACCTGTGATATTTAAAGAAATGCAGGCTTGATTAATATGCTTGACACTAGCGCAGTAGCTGTAGCCCAATCCCGTTGTACATGTACCAGTAACAGACATCTGAAATACTTGAGTATACGACAATGACCACCTATATGCGGTACATCGGTGCTGGACATAAATATGATAAAGATCCAAGAACGGACGGCGGTCCATACTACAATCCGAGAAGCAAAAAAGTAAGTCACGAATGCCATCTAATGTCAAGGAACCAGGTGATGATGGTGTTACACGATTGAGGCTAGTGAGGAAATGAGATACGACCATAGATAGAAATACAACCAATCTGATGCGCCACAAATTGCAAATACAGAAAGCTACCACAGTCGATCCCAGCTAGAAGGGCTCGATCCCGTTGGGCTCTCATAGAGTAAACTATGCCGAGGGCGTTTAGAACCAAATAGGCCAGGACTAGTGTCGAAGGCTCGGCTAGCGAGTTCTTCACTAAGGATGGTGGTGGGATCGTGGGGGTCATAGAAGAACTGGGATGGGGTGCGGAAGGGAGAGTCGTTGCTCCCGCCCTGATGTGTACCCCGGTTCGGGGTTACAGGGGCAAATGGCGAAAGGTTGAACAGGGACCCGGGGCCGGAAACTTTTCGTGCTGACCGTTTGCGCGAAGGTGTATGCACATCATCCAAACGCGTCACAGGTGGCGGGGTCTTTGGTTCTTCTCCGTGAGCACTGAGCAGAGGCGCTTGCGGGAAGTAAGCCGCAGTTGGCGGGGGATCCAAGTTAGACTTGTAATGGGATAGGCTGGGAGAGGGGCTCATATGCAAGCCGGCATGAGAAATCGGAGTCCTGATTGGAGATAAATGTAAGCCGCTGCTAGTCACGCGCTGTGTGCGAGGTGGTGTAATGAGTCTACGAGGTGGTGTGCATGGCTCGGTGGGTAGCTGTACCGGCCGAGGAGGGGTTGTTATAGGCTCGTTGATCAGCGACCCGCGTTGCTTGGCTGCCCTGCGTTCAAGGGTCGGAGACACTTGCACGGGTCGGGAAGATAATGTCTGCAGGGGATGATGTATATAAGACAATGGACTAGAACGCGCACCTAGAAGCATACCTGGTTTTGTTTGCGGATCGATTTCTCTTTGTCTTTTTTGGTCTCTTTGATTAAACTATCCTCACATCCAAGTAATGTGATAACGCCCTGTATAGCATCCACGACGGGCGCACCACGCAGCCACTCAGAATCCTCACCATCGGAGTCGTCGTTTAAGAACGCAAGAGCTTCGTCCATAGATGATGGCGTATGAACTCTGTGTGAATCCGCGTCACCTTCGACCAAACTCGAAAGCGAGAATAATGGAGGACTTGAAGATGAAGAACAACTCGGCGTCAAAGAGGGTACGGAGGATGATGACGAGGAGTTACAACCACGTAGATCCAGATCCCCAACCAGTATCTGGTGTGAGTGATCGTGTTCCGCCTTTCGCACAGACGCAGAAGGAGTTTGGATAGTAGCCATCCTATGGAAGTTAGATGATGGAGGTAACGGAGGGAAGATGACATCTGCTGGCATTGGAGGTGGTAAATATGGCTGATAATACGGCTGGTGTTGGGGATTTGTCTGAAAAGACGCGAAAAGGGGAGGCAATATGGGTGCAGGAGCAATGGCTGGGATTGGCCCAGCTACGCATCCAGCTGAACCGCCTTCTCTGTCACTCTTCCTTTGACGCTTTATCGTTCTGTGGGTTAACTCTTCCATGGCCATGGCCCCACGTTTTCTGGCACTCCGCTTGCTTGCTTTTTCTTGATTTGCCTTTACCATATCTGTGCACAGGCTCTTCTTAAACCCACCACCAACAAAGCATTCAACATCGCAGTCGAAGATAGCCCAAAGACTTTTCCCCTCCGTACGGCCACGTGGAACTTTTCTGAATACCGCCATCGTGCTGAGACAATGCCGGATAGAATTCATCCAAGTCTGCTCCCCCCGTTTATAGTACGGGTATACAGTCGTAATCCATTCATAAATGTCCTGAAGTGTCAGACGGTGCTGGGGGGAGGATAGGATCGCCTGACCAATCAAGCCGGCGTAGGCGAAGTCGGGCTTGACATCAGAGTAGGGACCCGGAGGGAGAATATAAGGGAGTTCCTCATCCTCGTCCTCAGGGAGGGGGGAAGACCGCATGGGTCCCGGAGACGATACTAAATTCACAACACGAACAGGACTTGAGCAAGGCGATGATGTTAGCAGTGGCGTGCGTGATACGGAATATATGTGGCGACCAGAGGGCGTATCAGAACCAGCCAAGTGAAGAGCCGATCCTTTGAGTTGTGTATATGTATTCTGACGGGGTGTTATTGGGATGGCATGAATACCTGTAATTAGAGATGGCTAACAGCATTTCTCTAGGTCGGTTTGATAGAATGTTATGAAGCTCACTCACGAATGGACGCTGAGGCGTAAGAGCCTCACTCACGACACGTTCACTATAGTACTTGTAATGGTGAGGAGTCTCGGGCAGTGCCTTAGGTAGAGAATTGAATGAGTGCGATTTGTTCAAGAAAGCGTGAAACAGACCTGGGGTGTCGAACTGCGTGAAGATATGAAGGAGAGGGGCTGCTGAACGCGTCGGTCATCGCGCGGTTGCGTGTTTGAATCTGTTAGATGCGGTTACTTAGTCGCCAGGCAATGATATTATGGCCGATCCAACTACACACGCTTCCGATCTTTCTTATCCTTCACTTTGTGCTCTAGGATCATCTCCATTGTGTCCAGTGGCCGGGAGAGGGTCGTTTTTTCGACTGGCTCAGACTTGACAGGCGTCCGAGGCGATGTTGGCAAATATGCCGGCACCGACGCGTTTGCAGAGGAACTAGACCGCGACTTTTCGTTGAGAAAGGGAGCCCTTGGCTTCGAACGCTGCTTGATGGTTTGCGGCGCGAATGTGCGGCCCTCGTCGACGGTTAGAAATTGGCGCATCTGTTCGCTGTGTCGACGAAGGTCGTCACGCGTCATGCCGATGCTGTTGAGTAGCTGAGTCGTTGGAGAAGACGGTTTCCCGCCTTGGCGGGAGTTGGGCATCGTAGTATCAATGAGAGGGGTATCTTGTCGAGCTAGGAGGAGGGCGAGTGTGAATAACTCCACAGGGCGTGTTCAGGTGAGAGAGCATCACACATGCGTGACTAGCGACCACCTGTCACATCGCGTTACAACTTGGGTCCAGCCACCGGCGACGGACGAACTGGGAGTGACCAGCAGCGCGGCTGCTGCAGGGCAAAGCTCGTCGCGCATAAGATGGTTTATCACAACCTTAAAGGCATGCACTGACTATTAATCCTGAAGTCTGCTAACTTTTCAACAGCCCTCATCAAGGGAATCCGGGCGTGCAAGGTAAGCTTGCCCAACCCACCGCGTACGCGGCATTGCTCACCCAGAACAGACTGTTGCCGATGAGCGAGCCCTCATTAAACAAGAATCTGCTGCCATCCGGGCATCCTTCAGAGAAGAAGACTCATACGCAAGACATAACAATGTTGCAAAGCTGCTCTACATACATATGCTTGGCTCGGAAGCGCACTTCGGCCAGATGGAGTGTCTGAAGCTTGTAGCAAGTCCGCGCTTTGGAGATAAACGTCTTGGATATTTGGGAATCATGTTACTGTTGGATGAGAGTCAAGAAGTACTCACCCTTGTCACAAACTCGTTGAAGAAGTATGTTCGTCTCTCCTATGTCCCATGATTCATCATCAAACATACTTTCAGCGATATGAACCACGCCAATATGTATGCTGTTGGCCTAGCCCTATGCACCTTCGCAGATATCGCTTCTGAGGAGATGTCACGGGATCTAGCTAACGAGATAGAGAAGCTACTAGGCTCAAGTAATACTTACATACGAAAGAAGGTGATTTCTATGTCTTTCTATGTCTCGTTCTTCGCACTTATACTCATTGTGTGTTGGCAGGCTGCACTATGTGCACTTCGTGTGGTGCGGAAGGTACCAGACCTGGCCGATCATTTCATCGCAAAAGCAAAAAACTTGCTAGCAGATCGGAATCACGGTGTTTTGCTTACCTCCATCACACTAGTTACAGAGATGTGTCAAACAGATCCCGCGTGTCTCGAAGAGTTCCGTAATGTGTGTTTCTGCTTGATTCTGACGTTCCCGAATTTTAAGGATGGAGATTTAACAGGCTGTACCCTTGCTTGTTCGACATCTCAAATCGCTGGTCACGACCGGCTATAGTCCGGAACATGATGTTTTGGGCATTACGGATCCTTTCCTCCAGGTCAAGGTCCTTCGATTGATGCGACTCCTTGGTAGAGGTGACGAGAAGGCGAGCGAAACGATGAATGATATTCTTGCGCAGGTGTGTTTCCCGAACGTCTCAATACGCTTTCATTTCCTCAACCGTGGTACTAGGTGGCTACAAACACCGATTCGACGAAGAACGTCGGTAATTCAATTCTCTACGAGACTGTGATGACGGTCCTCGAGATCGAGGCAGATAGCGGCCTGCGAGTAATGGCTATCAACATTTTGGGAAAATTCCTCAGCAACCGTGACAACAATATTCGGTGTGTTCTCCAGCTCCTTTGTCTAAGATTGTTGTGGTTTTTTACCTGTGCTTGTCCATGTCTCCAGATATGTCGCCCTCAATACCCTCAACAAGGTCGTTTCCATCGATACAAACGCAGTACAGCGTCATCGTAATATCATACTCGATTGTCTCCGCGACGGCGATATTTCGATCCGACGACGCGCTCTTGAGCTATCTTACGCGCTCATTAACGAACAGAATGTGCGCATCCTGATTCGTGAACTTCTGGCGTTCCTCGAACTCGCAGACGACGAGTTCAAGTTGGGCATGACAACACAAATATGCTTGGCCGCTGAGCGTTTCGCTCCAAACAAACGATGGCATATTGATACGGTTCTGCGTGTGCTCAAGCTGGTCAGTCAAGATTTTGGTTTTCTTCAGTACTTCTCAGTTCGTGTGACCATCTTCCACACTTATAGGCCGGTAACTTCGTCAGGGAGGAAATTTTGTCCGCTTTCATTCGTCTCGTCGCACACACACCTGAGCTGCAGGCATACACCTCATCGAAACTCTACACATCACTCCGGGCTGATATCTCTCAGGAGTCGCTAACTTTAGCTGCCACTTGGGTGCTCGGCGAATACAGCGAGGTATTATTGGAGGGTGGCCTTGTAGACGAAGATAAGCCGAAACAGGTGAGTCTGGTCACCCTTGTCTTGAATAGCTTGCTCATGTCAGCGTTTGCACAGATCACAGACATAGAGCTGATCGATCTCCTGTTATCTATTGTCGACTCCCCCTACGCGAACCATCTCACTCGACAGTTCGTCCTCACAGCAATTACCAAGATTTGTTCGCGTCCGACAACATCACCCGCTCAGCAGGAGCGAATTGACAACGTCCTTCTCTCTTACACCACGAGCCCTGAACTTGAAATCCAACAGCGAGGAGTAGAGTTTGCTAGCCTATTCAACCTTGATGTTCGTGCTGGCGTGCTGGAACGAATGCCTCCCCCAGAGCTCAAAGCTACTGTCATGGGGGTCGGTAAGTATCATGCTTGATTTGAGTATCGGCCAAGTCTTCATGTCTTTTAGTGAGTGAAAACAAGCCTGTAGGATCCGTTCAACCAAGCAGAGATGTGAGTTGTGGAGGAGTTATAGCTAGCAACAAGCACTCACTGTCCGTGATCAACAGGGCGATCTTCTTGGTGATGATATTCCGTCGGGAACCACACCGGCTGTGAACAATGGGGCGGCACAAGTCGCGCAGAACAATCAAGACCTCCTCGCAGAGATTTTTGGCACCTCTTCAGTATCGGCTGTTGCGTCTCCTGCAGCGCCTGTGCAGGGCCAGAAAAGTACAGTGCAGGATATTCTCGGGCTATTTGACTCACCATCTGCTCCAAGTCCTACTCCTGCTCCTGCCCCGTCCCAACCTCCGCCATTCGCCATATCGAATGGCATTCAGCCTGCCTTATCTGCCATCAGCCTCCCGCAAACACAGACACCACCGCCACAGCAGGCACAGCCACGCCTGACTGCGTACCCGGCTTACGACAAGAACGACTTGAGGATCACACTGACGCCGCAAGTATCACCCGCCCGGCCAGGCATCGTCAATATCTTGGCGCGATTCCAGGTCACTGGCAGCACTCCGGCGTCGGGTCTTAGCTTCCAGGCGGCAGTCCCAAAGGTTTCATTCTCACTTTACCGCCGCTTGCATTCTCCGGATTTCTGACATTTTATTTCTGCAGTCGCAACAGTTGCAAATGATGCCCATGTCGAACCCAGATGTTCAACCTGGCGCTGTAGAGACGCAGCAGATGCGCGTTATGGCCCCTGTTGGTGTAAGTGAATCTTTGTAATTCATACAGAACGCATGTCAGGCTCACAGGTAATCAGGCTAATCTGCGACTGCGACTGCGGATATCCTATTCCTTGGGAGGAAGCGCCATCCAAGATCAAGTAGACTTCAACGGATTCCCTCCAGGATTGACGGGTGGTTCTTAGTCGATATTTGCTGTTTGATATTTAGGTTTCCCAGCACATCCTGAGGCTACGAATGTATTGCTTGTAAATTCTCGTCGAGTGTGGAATGCCCGCTAGATGGTGGCTTGTGTGTTCACAAACATCTAATTGAAATGGCATACCGATGGTACCATAATCCGTTCGCTTCATGTCGTTTTCCATACGACTGCGTCGCCCCGAAACAGTACTTAAATATACTTTACGCGTAGTATTACTTTGCACACAAGAGAGCGATGGTGTCAACAGGAAGTATCAATACACATTAGAACACAATGTACGAGAATACAACTTCTAAACAAACATCTGCAAAGGGTGCCGGTCATACACATTTTGGCCCTCGCTGAGCTCTCCCAAATCGGGGAAGAATGGTACGAGTGCGTCAGCCGCCCCGAGATAAAGAGAATTATAAATACGCCAGTACACCTCCCTGACCTTCCGCGCGGGATGGAACAGTCCTTGTAACACGTAGCTGAGCAGAACACCAGGCCCAAGCGTTACACGCATCGCTTCAATTGCCTCCATAACGGCGCCGATGACATGAGGAGATGTCTCGAAGCAGTTCGGCCAGACGAGATTCATCAAGTGAAGCATGGAATCTTCGCATCCAAGGCCGGCAACGCCGAGCGCGAGATGTTTGACGATGGTGCTTGCCGTTTGACGATGCACGAGATCGCGATCAGTCAATGCATCCTCCAGCATTGTGACAACTGAATCTGCATAGTACGCCGATTGGGGTCCGACATATTCGAAAACAAATGACAGGGCCTTCAAGCATCCTGTCCGAACATTCAACTCTGCCGTACGGTACTCGTTTAAGATAGCCGGAATGCAAGTGAAAGCTGGGATACAACGTTAACATTGTCTGAAAATCATGTACCATTGCACGAGAAGTGTACTCACGGCCGCAAGTTTCTGCCACAATAGCAATGGCCACCGTACTACATACTCGGCTCTGACGCTCTTGGACACGCAAGTTTGTAAGCAGCACTTGCAAAACATCTTGAGGACCCAGACTCTTCGCGATATAACCGAATGAGTTGACAGCAGCACGACGGATACCCTTCTTGTGGGCCTTCAACAGATCGAGCAACTCGAAACAGATACGCATCCATTCCCTCGCAGGCACAAATTCAGCGCCACGATCAGCTTCAATCAAAGTCAGCGTGATACCGCAACATCCGCAAATATGAAGCTCACCGATACGGCCAATCAAGTTAATTGTAGCCTCTTGCACCTTCTCGTGCCGGTTACGAAGGATAGGGGTCATGCGAGGAACTGTGGGGAAGGTCAGAACTCGCGGATGAGGAACGATTATTGGTGACTCACGAAGATCTTTCACCGGAGGGTTCATCTGGGTCATACCGACCACGTTCGCGATGGCACCTTCTGCAGCGATGATACTGCCTAAAGTATCGGGGTATTCTTCTCCAAGCTGTTCAAATAGGACCAGTCCGAGCTTGCTGAGGAGTTGATCTTCACCACACTGCTTGATAACAACCGCGAGACGCGTGGTAAGGTCGGCTGCTTGTTGACGAACCTTGGCGCTCTTGTTGTTCAAACGCCACAGGATAGTAGACACAATTTGAGTCAAGTAAGGCTTGACGCGGATGCCTGCAAAAGCAATGAGATACAGATACTTGGGCAAAAAACGGGACCACTCACCCAACGCATTGACAACGGTTCCGAACCCATCCAGCATTACCTGGTCTTCGGTTGTCTGCTCTTGGAAAGAATAGATGATACCGTCAACCAACCTGACTTCCAACCGCTCATCAATGTCCGACGCTCCCAGAGAAGCCACGACTTTCGTGATCGTCTCCATGACCATCTTACGGTACGGCTCAGCCTCGTCCTTGAGCTCGTTGACGATCCTGCCGACAATCTCGGCTACGCCCGACTTCTGCGCCAACTCGACCGTCGTCTCCACTACTTGGCGATAATTTCTCCGGTCAAGCGCCATCCGACGGACCCAGAATGCTTTGAAGAAATCGGGCAAGATGTCGTGCTTGATGTACTGAGGTGTGACACCTTCCGTAGCCGCACACTGCTGGACGACCTTCAGAACAATCTTCTTCATCTCCTCGTCGGACGTTTGGAATTCGCGAATAAGGATGATGGTGACCTCCTTGATATAGTAGGACACATACTCGGGATCCATCAGCGGCAGAATGAAACCGATAGCCTTCAGGAAAGCTGCCAAGCTTTTGCCTCGGTGCACACGGATACCGACCCACAGAGGCTTGAGGACGTTGTCGAACGATTCAATACCGTACGGCGCCGCGGCTTCGGCCAATGCTGCCAGACCTAGGGCAGTCATTGTCCTCACCTTCTGTTGTTCGTCTTGCAAACCGTGAGCGATACAGTCGACTAAATTGCGCAAGTGAGGTAACACGGCGCAACCCATCATAATCGCAATTTGCTGGACGATCCGGATACCTGTATGACGAGCCTGCCAGGACTTCTTGCTCCTACACACAGCCTTCAAGAAGGGGAGCAAAGATGGGATGCCGAGAGCCGAAGCGACAACCGAGAACGCGCGAGCCGTCGTGTTACGCACATACTCGTCAGCATGGTCGATATCAGGTCGCATTGTGGAAATCATGTGAGCGAGACCGGCAGCCTTTGACAAGTTGGAGATGATCTCCCGACCCTCGACACGAGCGTAGTAGTCTTCGTCGATTAGGAGGGGCTCAATGACGACGAGAATTTTGTGGACGTAAGGACGTACGAGATCATCGAGCTTGTACAGGACACGGTCGATGACTTTGACGAGTAAGTGGCGTTCTTGGTCCTCGAGCGTGCGTTCCATGAGCAGAGGCAAAATCTTGTCGAACAAAGGCCCAGCCCCAAATTCACGAGCTTTGTCGGTAATCTGTCGGAGGGCAGTTTTGCGAACGGGAGGCGTACCGTTCTTAATTTTAAGAAGGAGTCGCATGATCTTGCGCTCCTTCATCTCCTCAACCGAGAGCTCCGTCTCGTCCTCCTCCTTCAAAATCTTGGCAAAGTACTGTGCGTCCTCCGCCTTGAAGAACGCAAGACTGCCGACGCCCGGAATCTCCGTGGGGAGTTCCGGCGCGAGACCTGCTGCAGCAGCAACGGCGGCAGCATCTGAGCTCTCCTGAATCTGGAAACCACCGACCTCTGTGACAGGTGTTGCAAACTTTGGGGGACGAACTAGAGGCGCGTATCCAGGAGGCGGTGTGACGATTGCATATCCAGTCGCGGGGAGAATTGCGTCGAGCTCTTCGTCCGTCAGATAGCGATTATGCTTGTCTTCTTGCATGAACCCGGGCGCATTCATGATAATAGGCGTCATTGGCACATCTTGGCCGGAGGACGCGGGTGTCTGGTCCCAGCGGGATCTCTTCGGTGTCTCCCCGACGGCGTTGACGTCGGCGGGGGTCGCGTCCCAGCGTGAACGACGCTTTTTAGGAGCAGCGTCCTCCAGAGCTTCCTTGGACCACTCACCGCCCTTGACCTCCTTGTTCTCCTTGTCCTCCGCAGGCTCATCCCAGCGCCGCTTGCGCTTCGTCCCCGCAAGCTCCTTGGCAGCAGCCTCGATTTCCGCCCTGGGCGGCGTCTTGTCCAGGTCCATCTTCACCTTGTCCTCATCCCGCGCCTGCCTCTCCCTTTCCTCGATAGCCCTCCGAACTCGCTCCTCCTCCTTCTCGAGCCTCTGCAGCCTCATTGCATCCTTATACCCGCCCTCGACGTCCTTTCCCTCCTCCACAGCTTTGAAAGCATCATCGCCCTCGTGGGCCTGGCGTTTGAAGCGGCGGTTGTGGTAGTCTGACTGCCTTGAAGCAATCTGCCGCTTCGAGGCCGTCTCGGCAAAAGGGTCGACGTTTTCTTCCTCGGCGAGGTCTGCGAATTCCTGCAAAACCTCCCTCGGCGCGGTAAATGAGTCGACTAGTCTGGGTGAGCCGGGCGAAGCCATAGTGGAAGCAGTGGTGGTCGCTGAGAGAGCGAGCGGTGTCGGTGACGGTCTTGGGTCAGCATGACCAATGATTGCACCCAAAGAAACTCCGATTCAGACTCCGCTGCTCTCGGTGGCTGGGGCCCGAATGTCGGTTGGTCGACCTCTCCAACGTCTCCAGGTTTCCGAATGGCCCTGCCCACGCGAGGCCGCGTTATCGTCGACACTACCGTCGGGGAAATCGACATCGAGCTATGGTCCAAGGTATGCTCCGCCGCATCTGTTGCTACTGCTGTCTAATGCCTCTCGTGCAGGAAACCCCGAAAGCATGCAGGAACTTCCTGACCCTAGCTATGGAAGGTTCGTCAGTGGACACACGTACCCTGCTGTCGCCCAGTTGACACGAGAAATAATAGGCTATTATGACGGCGTCATATTCCACCGGTAAGGCTCTTCCACTCCCGACCATCAGTGGCACGCATGAACATGTCCGCTCGTCGCAGTGTTATTCCCGGTTTCCTGGTTCAAACAGGCGATAGGACGGGCACAGGTTCTGGGGGAGAGTCCTTTTATGGAGGCGAGTGCGTCCTTGTGAGCTTGCTATTAGTTCGCTCAATACTGGCGGACAGAACCCTTTGAGGATGAAATCCACCCCCGTCTGCGGTTTGCCCACCGCGGGCTGGTGGCGGTGGCCAATAATGGGACTAAAAATTCGAACGATTCGCAGTTCTTCATTACACTAGGTAGCCATAATGTCGCAGCCCATATATTGGTGCTCACTGTGTCATCCAGACCGAGCGGACGAGCTGCACGGGAAGCATACGTTATTTGGCCGCGTGCTGGGCGACACATTCTTTAGTTAGTGCATCTTATTGACTTATCTCCCCGTCTTTCCTGACTTGAACACTCTAGATGTCCTCAAAATCGGCGAAATGGGTACGTCTCTTCTTTATTCCACATGAAGTCTGGCATGAGGTTTTCAGGCTCGTTTCTCTAGAGCTTGATGACCATGAGCGTCCGCTATAGTTGGTGTTTTTCTAATCGACAACGGCGCACCACTTGCTGACCGGCTCCCTAGCCCACCCAAAATCAAGACCATCCGCATCGTGGATAATCCATTTGACGACATCGTCCCACGTATCACGGCAGAAGAGAAACGCGCCCAGAAGCGAGCCAGGGAAAACGCTCAACGAGAGCGGGAAGAGGAGAAGCTGCGACGTGGCGCGAAAAAGTGTGTGAAGCAATTCTTGTCTGCCGAATCCGGCCCATTTTGACCATCATCTGTCGTTTAGAAATGTCAAATTGCTGAGCTTCGGTGTGGAGGCCGTTGAGGAGGAGGAGCCCGTCGCGTTCAAGAAGAAGCCCATCGTGCGTCCCGACTGTACGTACTTTACTTCCACCGGGTACTGCGCGCTAATGCAAGCTGGCAGTGCTGGAACCAGAACAGCCCATACCCATGCCAGACTTCGTAGCCCCGCTTGTGAAAGAGAAACCGGCCAAGAAAAAAGAGCGTTCCGAAGGACCAGATGCGAGCAAGGTGAGTGCAGGCGCGCTGTCCCTCTGAGCGTGTCTCACGCCGTCGTGGCAGTCCGAGTCGCAGCTAAGCAGCAAGAAGAAGCCCTCGAACGAGGATGTCGAGCTCACCAAGATCCGCGAAAGGCACGCACAGGAGCAGAGCGCGCAGACGTACGTGGTGTCGCCCTTCGCCCCTCCCCCTCCCCGCCACTGACCGCACCCGCAGCACCGCGCGCCAGAACGAGATCGCGAAAATGGAGGCAGAGATCCGCAAGCTCGCGCGGCGCGGCGGGGGGGACGACGACAGCGACGACGAGCCCGCGCGGAAGAAGGCGAAGGCGTCGGTGCTCCAGGAGGAGACGGCGCGCTACGCGAAGGGGCGCGGGCTGCACAAGAAGGGCAAGCGGCGCGACGAGGGCGACGTGCTCGCCGCGCTGGACAGCTTCCGCACCAAGCTCAGCCGCGCCGCGCCAAGTCCCGCTGGCGACGCGGGCGATGGCGACGGAGCAGCCGGCGCGGGCGAGGAGGGAGTACGGCAGGACGAGGAGGGGGTGGAGGTGGACGACGACACGGACTTTATGGCGCACGCGCTGCACTTCCCGAAGGACAACAACGAAGAGGTCGCGAAGGCAGAGCGCGACTACGAGGTGATCGACCCGCGCAAGCGGGGCGCGCAGGCGCGGGAGGAGGAGCGCGAACGGAAGCGTGCGGCGCAGAGGACGAAGGGCGGGTCGCGGGCGTACAGGCGGTAGCAGGACGGCCAGGGCCCGTCGCCGTTCTTCTTTGTTCCGCAGTCTCTATGTATGTATGTACAGTATGTACAGTCGGCCGTACCGCCGCTACTCCACCACGCCGCCCGCGTCTGACTCTCCGCACGCCGCGCCCTCGCTAGATATACAGCGCGCGCACCTTCTCCTCGTCCTCGCCCTGCTCCTCCCAGAGGCGCTCGAGCGCGCGCTCGGTGCCGCCGCCGCGCACGAGCGGC